GGGGGCGTCTCGTCGTTTCTCACGGCGAAAACAACACGCCGAGTGTGTATCAAAGCGACTGCGACCCACGCATCTAACCATTTAGGTACCACCACCGCACTGCGTAGTACCTACGTGACCTACACGTTCGCACTCCCCACCCCATCCCACGCCCTCCGAAAGAAAGGGCAAGTCATCGAGGGCCGTGCTACGCTAAGCGGGGGGTGGACTGGAGCTAAATCTCCGCGCAATACGGAGAACAGACAGCACGAGGCACTCGCGGCCGGCTCGGGGGGCTCCAGCTGTGACAGGTTGCGGGGCACTCGGCGGCACAGCTCAGACGACAAATGTAAAAACGGGGCAAATAAGCAACCCCGTCGAACGCACCGGGCTCCAGGACGACGACGGACTGTGGACACGGGAAGACGACGACGACGACGAGCGACACCCTGGGGTGCGGCGACAAACAGCAGGCAGATCACAAAACGCCGCCTGACGGGCGACCACGTGGTAACAACGTCTAGCGAGGCAGCAGCGGTGGCGGCGGCAGCGGCGGCAGCAAGGCACTCGGGCGCTTCGCGCGGCGGCCGACCCAGCGCTTCCGTCCTCGCGAACTGTGGGCGCGGCGCGCGGCGCGGCCGGCCCGCGGGAGCACCGCCGCGGAGCCGCGCAGAACGGCCACCGCGAGGCGTGCCGCCCCAGCCCCCTCCCCTCCCTCCCCCACGGCAGCAGGCTCGCGGGGCGCCCAATGGCGTCCACCGGCCGGGGGCATGCCACGAGCTGCGGGCACCTGCCAGTGGCCATGAGGACCTTGAGTCGCCACGTCCACAACGGGCTTGTCGGAGGCGGCGGTCCAGGGCGGTCCATAAAATGGAACGCCAGGGGCGCGGGCGCGGGGCCGGCGGCCGCCGCGGCGGCGGGCGGTGGCGGCCAAAGAAAGCAAAAGTGTGTGGCCGGTGGGACCGGCGGGAGGGGGCCCCACCGCGGCGCCCCAAGGTCCTCGCGCCGCTCAGCCCGGTCCCGGTGGTGGCCGCAGCACTAGGGGCGGCGGCTCGTGCTGAGGCCCGAGCGGCCGCGGCCGCGCGACGGTCGTGCCAGGCGGGCGGCCAGTGTGTGTAGCGGGCGGACATGGCACACACGAACACACCGCCGCCACCGCCCGACAGCCAGCCCCGGGACTGTCATGCCAGAGCGATGACCTTGAACGTTATCACTCACTGACGTGTAGCGCCGCCATCATCACCAGCACCACCACCACCGCGAAGTCGCGAAGCGCTCGCGCGGCGGCGGCCGCGGACAGCAGGGAGCGCGGCACCTGCACCGGGCAACACGTCCGCGTCCGGTCCCCCGGCCCGGCGGCAGCTACACATGTCCCGCGACAGATTTAGAGGACTTTACTCTCGCCGGAT